CCTGGCTATGCCCCACAACTGTCCGTGGGATTAGATTTGTGCCCCACTATCTCCTACTTCTTTCAGTTTGTCCAAAGGCCTGGAACCCAGCCTCCTCTGTCCTGCTCTGTTTCTCAAGAAAAAAGTATGCCTCCATCCTCTCTACACCTCCCAACACCTGCCTCACCTTGACTTATTGTCAGGGTTCCCTTAAAAGACTGGGTCCGTGGGGCTCCTGGGTGGCTCAGTCACTTAAGTGTCCAACTTTGGCTCAGGTCATGATCTCACTCATGGCTTGTGAGTTTGAACCATGCATTGGACTCTGTGCTGACAGCTCAGAGCCTGGAGCCTGCTTGCATCCAGCATAGTGAATAGTACACAAAAACACTCACACATGTTGGCTAAGGGCATAACACAGACCCACATCTGCAGACAACTAATCACAGTATATGGAGACACAGGAGCCAGGGTAGGTAGAGCATCCATTATCACAAGGAAGTCTGTCAGTTATCTCTGCTTCTCTCCTTCCCTCACCTCCCATTTCACCTCGTCCCCCCAAAATGGCACAGTGGGCCAGCCTAGGCGTAATCAACTGCTCACAAGATGATTTGCAGAGGCAGCGCAAGTAGAAAACTTGAAATGACTAATAGTATCCTAGCACTCATACCAGTTGGTGAAGGAAAAGAGAAGAAAACCTTTGGAAAAGAAGTTTGGCCATATGTATTAAGGCAAGCTTTCTTTCACATTGTCTTGATGACATTTTAGATTGAACCGTAAATAATCCAAAAAGAAGGCAAAACTATACGTAAGATGTTTGTTGTAGCATTTTTTTTTTAATTCTGAGAGAAGTAGCATGCACATGCAAGCAAGTAGAGGAGGGGCAGAAAGAGAGAGATCCCAAGCAGTTGCACTGTCATGCAGAGTTACCCAGCGTGGGGTCAAACTACGAATCCTGAGATCATGACCTGAGCTCAAAATCAAGAGTTAGACCTCAAGCTAACCAACCAGAGGCCCCACTGTAGCATCATTTTTAAACAGATTTATAAATAATTCATTTCCTTTTGGAAGTGTAAAATTCAGTGGTCTTTTATATAAGCAGAGTTGTGCAACAACACTAATTTTAAAAGCTTTTCATTACCCTCTGAAGAAATCCATTAGAGTTACTTCCCCATTCTCTCTCTCTCAGCTCCTGGCAATTTAATCTCCTTTCTGTCTCTAAAAGTGATGATCAAGCAACAACCAAAAAACAAATAAATAAAAAAATAGAAAATAAACTCATTGTTACCAATCAACATAACATAAAAGTGTATAAAGCTAAATTATGGTACATATACATTATGTGGCTGTTAAAAATTACCACAACAAAAGACCTGTACCAAAAGTTGAAGTTATATACATGAATAATGTTTAGTATTTTTACAGCGATACAAATTTATGAATATACTCTTAATTTCAACTCAGGTGTAGACAGACTGAGATAATGTGTAGAATTTAAGGCATGTTAGAATATAGATAGTGGGTGCTTTTCTTTATAGTCTTTAAATATTTGCACAGGATTTTATATTTAAAAGTAGAATTTAGACATCATGTTGATTAATGTAACAGAGAATAGCATTGGGCCCAGCCAGCCAGCCAGACCAGCCAGCAATCAACCTTTCTGAGGCGTGGACCCGGTTTTAATTAAAGCATCTCTATGTAGGCTCCTTCTGGCAAGCCAAGGGCTATGCACAAAGGATCTCATTCTCCCAACTGCAAACTAAAGCCTGAACTGTAGACATTCAGTCTCCACCTTTGACTCTCTTGCTCTTGCAGCCTCGGCTACTACCATGTCTCTCAGTCAGGACTTACTCTTACACTTATTTATCACAACATACTCAATGACTTTGGCCAATTTCTTCTATTAATATATTAACTGCAGATGACCAAATTATTCTGATCACATACTTTTTTTTTTATGGGACTCAGCTAGTATGGAAACTGGTGTAAACAAAACAACAACCAGTCCCCTACTCTCCATTCCCACTTCCTGTAGAGACACACAGCTCATTTAGTCAGCACAGCCTTCCATTACATCTTCTCCCTCCATCTGTGGAGAGTCATCATTGATAGTCCACCATTGTCACACACCTGCACTCACTCCAGGCCCCTTTGTCCTCTCTTATCTAGCTTCTTTCCTCCCTTCTCCTCTCTCTCTCACTCACATCACACATACACTCCATACATCCTCTGATGCAGCAGCCCTGGCTATGCCCCACAACTGTCCGTGGGATTAGATTTGTGCCCACTATTCTCCTACTTTCTTCAGTTGTCCAAGTGCCTGGAACCCAGCCTCCTCTGTCCCTGCTCTGTTTTCAAGAAAAAAAAGTACCTATCCTTCTACACCCCAACACTGCCTGCCCTTGACTTTTGTCAGGGCGTCCCTTTAAAAGACTGGGTCTTGGGGCTCCTGGTGGCTCAGTCACTTAAGTGTCCAACTTGGCTCAGGTCATGATCCACATGGTTTGATTTGTATGCATTGGACTCTGTGCTGACAGACAGAGCCTGAGCCTTCAGATTCTGTGTCCCCTCTCTCTCCCCTCTTTCCTGCTCATGCTCATGCCTCTGTCTCTCTCAAAAATAAGCATTAACAAAAAAAAAAAAAAAAAAAAAAAAAAAAAGAGTGGGTCCCTGGATCTCCAGTGGTGGTGAGGCACAGGGCAAATGTAACCTTCTAATGAGAGCGATTCACTTATGTTTAGATGAGACCTAACATGTGTCAGAAACCAATGTCAGTTGCAGGGATTCAGAAAGTATTGAAACTAATCACTCACTTTGAAAAGCTCACTGGAGCCTGGTGGCGCCGTCGTTAAGCGTCCGATTCAGCCGATCAGCGATCTCTGTCCGTGAGTTCAGAGCCCCGACTCGCTCTGGGCTGATAGGCTCAGAGCCTGGAGCCTGCTTCCGATCTGTGTCTCCCTCTCTGCCCTCCTCCCGTTCATGCTCTGTCTCCTCTGTCCCAAAAATAAATAAACGTTGAAAAAAAAAAAAAAATTTAAAAAAAAAAAA